TTGAAGATTTTCATATTTTCTATTATTTTTAAAAGATTCGTTAATTACGGAATTATTGAAAATAATTGTAACAATATGACACTTCTTGAGATTCTTCCGGAGGTAGGTTAATTATATAAGTAGAATATAACGTTGAGATTGAATGATGAATACGCGGATAGTGATGCTACTGAGAAAGAGAGCATAATAGCTTAAGCTCTCAATAGTCCACCAACAGGATTTTCCTCGACAGCGGGAGGGTTCATTAGGTTATAGATACATGCTTAATTTTATGTTGCTATCCTAGCATCACACAAGATTTTATCCGTGTAATGGAGTAGCTAATCACACAAAGATGGAATCTTGTTTATAATCTGACAGCGCATGCGTTTCTGAAAAATAATATAATTTATATGAATTGAAACTAATCCATTTATATCTGCGTTAGTTCGACGTTTCTTATAAAACAGTCAATAGTTTACGTGCCATCAGAGTCGTGAAAGTAAATGACGAAGAACCTCTCAGTTCGGACCAGACCAGAAGCAATATAAATAAACTAAAATCAAAGTTGAAAAAGAATACCAATACGTTATATCAACATTTGTTTTCTGCTGTAAGTAATACACCTATATCCGAATTAACATGGAGAGATCCACTGGGAAGTCAAGTTATTTCTGATGAATCGGATGTAGTAAAGAATTTACCTAGACATTTGCGGGATTCTTTCATGATAAGTTTTGGATGGTTTGTTAAAAGAATCTGAATAATAATCTAATCCAATTGGTTATTAGAAACCAGTGCAAGAAATGGTACCTCGATCTCTTCCACCAATCGTAGAAAATAAATGTGATGAATTTGTAAAAAAATTCGTTACTCGTGACAATCGTTTACCTCAGGCCCTTTTGCATGATGGAACGTGGAAAGAGTCTGATAAAAAACTAGTAGAAGTCGTGAATGGAATTTTGGAAACACTGTAAGAATTTTTGTAATCTTTTTAATAGAAATCATATTTTATAATAATAAGCTGTTCCTTTAGGAGTAATTCTTGGAATAATCCCGCATTTGGACCTGAGCATACCGAATCGTTAAACGAGGGTACATATGTGACTAACATGATAGTACCAGCACTCCAGGCATCACTAAAGAATCTTCCTTACGGAAAGATTTGTTATATTATCACATACGTTAATTAGTATCAAATGGAATATCTTATAGTCGATACCTAGACTTATTGTTTATCTTTTATATAGTTTTGAACGACAAAGTATTACCAGTGCAGACAGAAGAGGAGAAGGGTGATCAGGACGACGGCCAGATATTATATTCATTATGAAAAATAAAAATAAAAAATATGAGCTTATGTATTCTGAGTGCTCGCGTTTATTTTGTTCCTCCCAGAAGATAGAAGATGATTCTCTAAAGCTATGGCGCGAAACTAATGATGGTATGTACTGGGTTTACAAAAGCTGTAGACCTGAGAAAGATGAATTTGGAATAATTGGAGTACAAGTTGCGGGATCTTTGTTACGATTATCGGTACTTATCAGAGATGGTGCAAATATTGATCGGTATTATCACTTACATGAATCGAGGATTCCCGTACAATATTCAGATTCTGTTATAGTAGCAAAATTTATAGAAACTTTATTGATACTTCATAATATTTTGATAGTTAATATGACATTGTTACCTCATGGGTCCACACCCAAGTCAGAAAGACAAAAAGAAGCCAGTTCAACCGTAGATTCAGAATAGATATTATGTATTTTTATTTGTAATAATAAAGGTGTCAATTTTTCAAACTATCGTCACGCGTTATTTATCCAGAAAATTAATTATATGCTTGTAGTACATTCTGAAATAGATTTCATCCCGAAATAGATTATGCAATGATTATTCCAGATATAGAATGACGCATTATCAGTTGCCTCATCATGATTGGGTAATCACCATATATATACCCCTACTGATTATCTGCGATTGGTTACCTTCGCTCCCACACTTCTTTTTTTCTGCGAAAGTAATACTATTCCTCTTGAGTAGGACTTGGCTCTAGGGTTATTTGACCTTAACGGCTCGTCGAATAGTGTTGCTTTTGATTTCTCTGCCAATTAGTAATACACCGCTTTTCATTCCTATATTAGTATGTCGCAAGAGAAAACACCTAAGAAATTGTCACGTAGTGCTCGCTACAATAAAAAACGTAGGCTTAATAAGGAACAAAAATCAACTTTACCAGCTGAGCGAAATGAGCATATACCAACTGTACCATTGCCAATAAGCAAGATTCCCTCCGAAATAGGACTCAACACACTGTGCATTATTTTCGATCCAAACTGAGTATATATTGTTATATTGTTTTTTATTAGACTATCTCTTGTGTCAGATTTTCTTTGTGTTTTTGCTCTGCAAATGATCAGTCATTCTTCTCCAAGCAATTATTGGGTATACTCAGTTATGTCTCTGGCTTTGTATATCTGTGTTTCAACAGACACGTAGTTATTATTTAAATAACTCAATAATTTGTTTTGGATGGTTTGTTCAATCCGCAAAAGAAAAATCTGGTTAAAGGGATTAATCTATTGTTAAATGACCATCTTTTGTTATTATTAATCTTACGGATATTCTATTACAATTAGCATTGAACCCAATTGGGGACCCGCGGATTAAGCACAGAAGACAAAATATTCTATATCGAGAAAGAATGGCTGAGTGTCCCCCTTACTCCATCAGATTGCATAGTGTCAAAAGGTGTTAAAAGTTAGGAAAAAGTTTCAGCTGAGGAATTGTTAATGAAAATATTAATTCGAGAATCTAGATTCATAAATAGTATTGAGCAATCAGAGATCCCATCTGATTTTCTAGTGCTTATCGATGATGAAATAATCAAAGGTAATCATATTAGTAAAGTGAAGTATCGAACTGAGAATCTGAATGAAGATTTATGGCTCTCGCTCGGTCAATGGTTGGGGATGAAAGAACCACTCACAAGAAGGGAAGTACGTCAGCATCTTCAGCGTAAATGGAAGAAGCTCCAACATGCAATGGAAGTTAGAAGCAATATAAATTCGCAAAATTCTCCGATTATAGTAAATGAACGTATCTCCTGAAAAACAAAAACCCAACTCACCATTTCTGCACATAAAGATTTTCAATCATTGGATAAGTTATCTCAATTTCGTTATATTATTAATCCAGAATGTGTTACAGATCAGTATGGACGAACATTAATCCACCTCGAGATACTCAACAATCCAACCGCGATAACCCAAGCAACGGACGTGGTGAATTATTATTATTTTCATACATTAGAGCACTCATCACACAGAAGCGAAAGTTTCTGGAAAAATTTCATTGAACACTTTGGCGTATTTGCTTTAAATAACACCCTTCCCTATACAAGTTCGAACAGTGCAAGTAGTCATAATATTGACCATTTAAAGTGTGTCAACAAATTAATCCACGGTCTCGAACCACTGTCAATTTCCATTAATCGGTTTCTTCAAAAATATTACCAGAATTTGTATGAGAAATTAAGCAAGCTAGAATGGGGTGTATTCGCATCTAGAGCATTCGGGGTCTTCCCTATGATCGCGATTAATTTTAATACTATAAGCGATTTTCACTGGGATGAGCATGACGAGCCGAATTCGTTATGTTGCTTGGTCGCTCTTGGAGATTTTGATGGAGGCGAACTTTGCTTCCCACAACTCCAGATTATCGTTCCACTTCGTCCAGGACAAGTTGTGGCATTTTCTTCCTGTCTTCTACTCCATGTCAATTTTCCTGTCACGAGAGGGATAAGGCACAGCGTCGTATATTTCATCCATAGTATGTTCTTCCACCATCTGCGTAATTTTACCGAGATTTACAAAGATCGAAAAGATGGAATTGAGCGGGATGTGAATGAATCGGCTGTTCCTACAGTTTCCCACCAAGACTTGAATAATGCAAATGGATTAAACCAGATAATCAATCTCGACAGGCCGAAAGCCAATCAGATTCGAGTTCCGCCATCATCCACCGATTGTAGGAGAGGGCATATCGGTAAGTATTTTACCCGCGATGTTGATATATATAAACTAAAAAATGTATATTAACATATTATATTTAGATTTGACACGTGTTCGACGAGGATTGAAGGCTGAAGATCCAATACCCGACGAATCATAGTACAATTGTGAATACGACTGATTGAAAAAATTAGCATAGATTTTGGAATATTGTTACCATTTTGATGGGACTTTCGAAATACTCAAAGGTATTTATAAAATTTAAGAAATATTCAAAGGGAAACTTTCAATGTCTT